TGATTCTATTTAGATAAAATTTAACTCTTAAAAAAAGATATTTCTTCTTAAAATTATTTTACCACGTGTTCATAGCGTGGTAAAATAAGTTAGTCTCATAAAAGAGGGTGTTATAGAAGTCTCAAACCAAGAGAATCTATAACTTGGCATATACACCAAGTAAAATAAATGTATAAATGCCTTGTGCACGTAAAAAAAAAAAATTTTTTTCGCGAACAATTAATGTTTGAAAATTTACGCATTACTATCCTCTTCATCTCTTCAGGCAGGTAAAGAGGGTGTTATAGAAGTTGCATGTCTCACCATGTCTCACCAAGAGAATCTTGGTATATACACTAAGTAAAATATATATATATAAATGCCTTGTGCACGTCTTAAAAAAAAAATTTTTTTTTCGCGAACAATTAATGTTTGAAAATTTACGCATTACCATCCGCGTTTTTTAGGTTCTTATTGCTCGTTTCTTAATTATCATGTTGTATAATATTAATATTATAATTTTGAGCAAATTTTAATATTATTTTATAAAATATATATTATGAAATATTTTATAATAATAAATGAGTAATTAAGTGTTCAATAGTACTGTTAGGACTTAGATATTCGGTTATTCTAGATGTTATATGTGTGTGGGACTATTTATTTAGTATTTTTAGTATATTTTTATTTTAAAACAATTTGTAAATCAAACATTCGAGGATCAAAGTTCTATCTGATAAATAATGTAAAATAATATTCATAACGCTCCATCTCTCTCTCTCTCTTTCTCTCTCTCTCTCCCTCTCCCCCCCCCTTCTCTCTCGTTCCCTATCACAAAAGCATCATAAATGATGAAATTTCACGCTATTGAAATGTTTCCTTTTTTGCTAAAACAATCAACATAAATTAATGAGTTTTCGGATGAATCTTTACATGAGTCAATTATGCGGCTATTACCCGTAATTTAATGTTAGTAATATGTAATACAATAAACACAATCAAAATCCATACAACTATAGCTTAATCCAACAGCTATTCGAACGATTTCTATATGTCTATATTTTATAAACTATACATTTTCCATTCGGCAAAACTAGGATTTATGTTCGCTTAAACAAAACCAATATGTAAAATTATAGATAATTATATTATATGTAAATTATACGTACAGCATTATTTAATTTTAAAATAATTTTCCATTAAACCTATTATCATCCGCCCTACGCTTTGATCTTGGAGAATTTACATTATTGCAATTTTTACATTTATTAAATGATATCAGTTCTTTACTTCATAATAATACTTCATATTCAATAATGGTTTGAAAATGTGGATCAGAAGAAATCGCTCCTCAAAATCATTTTCTGTTGGAGAATTTATATTGTAATTTTTACATTTATTGAATGATATCAGTTCTGTACTTCGTAAATAGTTTGAAAATTGTCAACTGATTATTTTATAATCTTTTTAGATCTTTGTTCGTGATTGAAGACGTTATGTATGAGATCAAAAACATCTGGATCAAGAAATCACTCTTCAAAATCATTGCACTGTTCACTGTCAAATTCGAACGCTAATGTTCTTTCCACCAACTCGATTATGACCGAATAAACGATATCGATTAACGTCCCAAAGGATCCACAATTCACTCCGCCATAGCACTGACCTAAGGTGGAAGTCATTACACTCAAGCTCTCATTACTCGTCGATCGAACGACCTCTTCCTCTTTTTCTTTTTTTCCACAACTTGACCCCTTCATGTTCTTCATCGAGTCGCGTTCGCTTCGAAAAGCTGACTTTCTTGCAGTAATGTTAAAATTTATCGCATGTTTTTAAAACGATTTATCGATTTTTTCTTACGTCTATTTCTCTCCTATTTGGCGGGAAAATCTTTAATCAATTGAGCATAAAAGCATCATTGAAAGCAGGACATTTGTATCTACTTGTACCTACATCTGTACTGCATTTTTAATCAAATACATATGGTTGGTAGATTGCACTTACTCCTCTATATCATCGATAATATCTTAATTCATGAAATGCACAAGATGCAAGACATTCAAAGTTTCTTTGTATAGCAATTTTTTTTGGCCGTTTTTGATTTCTCTTTTTCTTAAATAAATATCTATTTTTAGAATCGGAAGTATCTATTTTTAACACAGGAAATTTTGTAAAAAAACAAAGGGCTTCAGGTCATGGTTTTTTGGAAAACTATTGGACAATTATTTAGGACCATTGGAGCATTGGACCATTGGACCATTGGGAACATTAGAAAGGACCTTGTTTCTTCGATACTCTTCTTCTCTGATACTTTATAATTTATTAATAATCAAAAGCCATGTTTTTTATTATTATTATAATTATATTCTGACAATTTAAAAATTCATTATCGCAGTAATATCGAAATATCATGTGAATTATACGTGTCAACAATAGTATCTCATGAACGATATGAAAATCCATTGGCTTATAATTATAATTACATTATAATTATAATTATAATTACATTATAATTATATAGTACTAATTATAATTATGCACCGCGTTCTTTGTCAACTATAATATTAACTGTATTATTTCGGCTATATCATATACCATGAAAATAAATTACGTATAATGTAACATCACAATATGATTGCAAATTTGATATGATAGCGAGTCGAAAACTTTGAACAAAGTGTTACAAAAATGTTCAAATTTTTATGGAAGATATACATATGTAATTAATAATAGAGAAACGTAGCTTTAATTAATGAAATATAAAATGTTTAGAAAGAAAGGAGGAGGAAAGTTCTTTAGTCTTCTTGCTGATTAGTTGAGATTTTTTTTACCTGAAAAAAGGCGGAACTAATACTCTACACATTTTCGATATTTTATGATGATTTAGTTTCAAAGATATTTTGCTCAACAAAAATATTATGTATTCTTTTTATTTATTTATTAAATTTATTTTATAATATTTATTTTTTAACAAACTATATATTTGTAAGATGTATATACATATAATTTAAATTAAGAATTCATACTATTATAAGATCGTTTATAATATAAACGCACAATTTTTTTAATTCAATGCATAGCATATTTCCAAGAGAAATTTTAAAAAATATAAATATCTCATGCGAAAATTCAACATATGTTTGATGCATGTTTGATATGTTCAACATACTTAAATTGATATTTGAATGTCCAATTGAGTTTAAATTATTTTTACTACATTTAATGTGAATATTTCTCTCATAAATTTTGATTTATGTTTTTGCGCGCAAAAATATTCTCTTTAATAATTAAATGAATACCGTTTTTTGACACATTTACATATCTTTACACGATTGTACATCGAAAGCAAGACTATTTCGCTACCGTGTTATTGCGTTTGAAGTTAAAAACGTTTGATACATCGCTTACGGAGAGAATTCAAGTTTGAAAAATTAAACAATTATTTTTATTAGAAATTAAATAATTATTTTTATTAAAAATTTAATAATTATTTTTATTAAAAATTAAACAATTATTTTTTTGTTTAATATTTCAAATGATTCTCAAAATTGTATTTCAAGCTACTTTATTTTCTCAAAATCAACTATTCCAAAAATGTTACTGCATTCTTTGCCTATTGCATCACATCGTGAAACATTTAATACAATATACAATAAAATTAAATTATGAATTATACAATATAATGTACATCTGTATAATTACAGAGTTGAAGTGGAATTTACAAAATGCAGTGGAAAATTCTAAAACGAATATAATTTTATCCTTGACAATTTCAGAATGCATTATTGAGTTCAAATAAAATTCTTATACCGTTTATCGGATTATTGAATATTATTTGCTTCCTCTTTCTCTCTCTTTTCCTTTCTCTGACATGCTCTCTATATTATATTCATCATGTCAGCTTATTATACCAACATGTAAATAACATGCACGCACATTACGTCCATTCATAATCCGAACTTTGTAAACTTTATGTTTACAATGCATCTATTGTTTCCCGCTTGAGAGATGTATCTCATCGAATCAACAACGCATTCTCTTTCTCTCGCTTTCACCTTCTATTCTGTTCCTCGATATATGTATATTTTCGAAAACAATTCTTTATGTATATCTTCGAAAACAAGCCGAAGTTATGGCTTGCGTCGCATATCTTCTACGCGAAAATCGTCAAACGTAATTCTTGATGCATAATTTATTTTTTTCTCTTAATGAATATTCGATTATAAAAATAGAGATATTTGCTAACAAGCAAATATAAATTCTTCTTAACAATATTATTATATTAAGATTATTTCTATCGAAGAGAGAATTATTCGACAGAAAAACTTACGAGGAAAGATTAAGTATGTTCTCTCAAATTTTCGGCGAATTGACTCGGTAAAAGAATTTTAAAAAAAAAGGGGAGCCTAATACTCTTCTACGGTATTTCCAACATATATCATATGTGAGCAAATATATATCACGTGTCGATTCTTGGTAATGGAACACCCGACGAAAGAAAGAACTCCCTCGCTTCCTTTTCGGCGTTGCAGCTCGAGCTTTCTTAATAGACGCCAATCGGCATCTTTGAACCCGGGAGAACGCAGACAGTCAAGTGCATTAATTTCTTTAACGAACGTTTTCATTCGACGGACGTAGAGAAGACTTAGCGCCTTGTTAACGTTCATGAAACGCGACGTGTGCAATAAAACGTACGGTTATTATGAAATTTTTTTCATAAGTGCAACGCATTGCGACATTAATATTATTTTGCTGTGAAGAATACAAATGTGTATAAATACTTCTCGAAATATTGAATTAATATTAATATGTACGAAACATCAGAAATTTGGGAACTTCGAACATTGAGGACATTTTTATAAATATACACTTATATAACGAAGCTGTGTTAATGTATTTTAATTGTAGAAATATATTTTAATATATGCGCTTTAATCTACATTGTGCGATAAATTTTTAATCTAGATACAATGTACATCAAACATATGAAAAATGACTATTCTTTCATTTTTTTCTTTCAGAGTGGACCGTTACGTAGCGAACAGAAATGAGGACACGAGGTATATAAATTATATGACATTTATTAAATTCAAATATACAGGGTGTTCCATTTTAAATAATACGCTCAAATATCTCCGAAACGGTGCGTTAAATAAAATAATGTTTCAGACAAAGTTGTATGACTCGAAGGGGGCCATCAGGTGGTGGCAATGATTTGACCTTGGAGAGTCATTTGATTCATCCCCTTCAAGCCATAACTTTTGTTTGAAACATTTTTTTTTATTTAATGCACCGTTTCGGAAATATTTGAGCGTATTATTTAAAATGGGACACCTTGTATACACTCTTGTAATTCTTTTTAAATTTTCTATAATTCTCTCTCATTTCTATCTTTAATTAGTAATTCTATTTAATTCCATATTTAATATATATATAATAATTCTATTTAAACCTATTTAATTCAATACAATAAAACATTTTTGTCATAAATCTTTAGTGCATATATTAGAATTACTTTTTAATATATAATTTTTAATAACTTGGGAAACCGGAAATCATAACTCTTAATAAGGCCATCAGCAAAAGGCATAAAATTGAAGCATGTCAGCCATACTTACACTTGTCATCCGATTAAATCGACATTCTCGAGTATGGTTACGAACACATTTAAATCGTTATAGTAAACGATCAGCAGATTATATTTATTACATGTCCATTTCAAATTGCTCTGCAGATATATAAAGCATTTGCTGCTTGTTATATATCTTGTGATATATCTGTGTTCTTTCTTCGTGATAAGTTTTATATGAGATTAAATATATATATAATATATTAATAGTAACTTATTTGATCACATTTGCACTATTTATACATTGGTGCCAAAGATTGTGTTATGTTACCTAAGCAGGGAATTAACTTTATATATAGATCCTCTTTTCTTTTAGTGCAAAGAGTAATATAAGAGTAATATATGTCATAAGTAATCAAATCTGTTTAAAATATCTACGATATGTAACAATGTTGTGCAATTTAAAATTTATAACAAATTTTTTTAATAAATAGATGATAATCATTTTGAACTTTATATCGTAAAAATCTTAATAATTTAAATATTAATTAAAGATTATAAATATTAATATTAATTAAAGATTATAAATATTAATATTAATTAAGATTATAAATATAAATATTAATTAGGATTATAATTTTAAAAAAAGATTTAAACGTATCTAATTTTACTTTCAAAATCATTTTCTTTAATTTTTACACTATCTTTAAATAAATGAATATATTTATCAGATTTGCGTTTACTTAAACAACAATATCGTCGTTTATTTTGCTAAGAAATATAAACGAAGATTCAATGCATAAGGGAAGTCATTTATGACAAAGAATTCATAGAATTCGTAAAAGTATCAGGATTTAAATTACTACAGTTTAACAGATCCAAAATGAAATCAGCATATTGCTTCACTTATTATTTCTATATCGTAAACAAAATATATCGAAAAAATAATTTTTCGGAATCTGAAGCCGCTGAAGATACATTGAGCACATCGATTAAAATATAATTAATTATAACTGTTCGATATGCATTCAGAAGATTTTTAATCAAAGAAAATCGTTATAATGACAAGTAAAATTTAAAAAAATATATATTGATTAAGATTTTTCGTTTAAAAGAAAAAATCTTGTCTGTTAGATGGCGAGGCAGCATTTTTAATACAAGCTTGGTGAAAATAACGGCGGTAGCTTCAGAGTCCAGACTAAGCACGCTCTTAGACTGTGTCGTCATCGAGTAGCAGCTGTTTCCATTCAGCCTCGCCCTTCTTAGTTGGCGACTTCCTCTGCAGCACTTTTAATTAACGTACAAGACACGCTTCCTCTATTTCATTTTTCTTTACAAACGGATTCATGTATCGAATAAATTCCAGGCAGTTCGAAGCGAACGATCAGAAAATATATACGTGTAATATCTAAACCCATGTTTCTTTTTTAAATTACAGAACTCTAATTAGTAGTAGGATTCAAGCTGCATTCGGTCTATTCGAATAGAAAAATTTGTTTCCGAGAAGCCAAGATACCGTTAAAAAGTTTCTTTGAGCAGCTTAATTAAGTATTAAAATATTATGCATTAAACATTAGAGACATTTTAAATCACAGAAACAATAAATATTTTTTATGTAGAATTTATGTAGAATTATGTAGAATTTAGAAAATAGTTCGAAATAAATCGACTGGCAAAATAAAATGATATTTAGATAATTAATTGATAATGAAAAGCAATTGTTGCTATTTTGTTTATTTATTTATTTAAATTAATTGAAAAGAATTTTGATATTTTACACGTAAACTATGTCCTAATTTCTATAAGTATCGCTACTTTTAAAAGTAACGCGACTTTAAATTACAATGATAGCATATATGTGTGTTGAAAGTTTATTAAAATTAATTATTAAAATTTTTAATTTTAACTTTAATTATTAATTATTAAAAATTCTATTATCTTTAAATAGAAATGTATCTAAATGTATGTATGCTTCGTCTATACATATTTTTCAGATTCCTTTTCAATTTATATGATGCTTTTTATTTTTGCGATATATTCTTTTACGAAATGAAAATAATATCTGAAGTAATGGATCTGTTAAATTACTAAGTCTCAAACATTTAGAAACAATCGTTCTCAATTTTTAGAAATAATCTATATTTAATATTTCTTTTATATACTAACACTAAATATATTAAAATTAATATATTAAAAATGAAAAGATATCATTTGTCAAAATTGAATCATACGACCAAACGAAAATTAGAAATATTCGTTATGTGATTTTAAATAGAGTGAAAAGAATTTTATTGACTTTGATTCAAATATGATCTTGATTCGAATTATATTATTAGCTTAATACTCGTGTACATATTAAAAATAATCTGAATTTTATATTTTATTTTATTTAAAATGAAGGCCTTCAAAAATTATGTGTGTGTATGTGCGCAATAATATGTGCGCAATTATACTATAATAAAAATAAAATATTTAGATAATTAATTGATAATGATAATACTTTGGTGCTTCATACTGAGATCTTCTATAGAAATTCTTTTCTATGTTTATAATACTTGGAGAATTTAAACTACGTGAAATAAGTAATAATATAATCAATATTTAATGATAATATAAATTTGTAAATATGTTTATCTAAATTTATTTTACGCTGAACTTCGATATAGAAAAATCACAGGTCATTACGTACATCTTAAATACATCGCGTATTCGATTAAAAAATTATGTCCAAGGTGTTGACGTATTTTTTTGTCAGCAAAATTATATTAATTACTTATATAATATTAGAATAATTCTTTTATAATTAATCTTATAAAATTTGTCAACAAGAATAATTTCATAAAATAATTCAAGACGTTCTTTTAACTAGTTTTTACATTAAAATAAAATAGTGCTATGTAATTAATAAGCGTGAATTATAAAATATTCTAGAAGAATACTTTGCAAGTGTATTGTATATATTGTATATATATATATATATATATATATATATATATATATGTATAAAATTATAAATAATTATACTTGCAGAGTGTTTCTATTTGTGCAGGATTCATATTTTATATTCATTAATTATACAGTACATTTCTGAAAAGAAAAGCTGCTTATTATATATATTAAAGAATCTGTGTTTGATATAAATGATGGCCTTATTAAGGGCCTTCAAAAATTGTGTTTAAGTACGTACGCTGCACAGTGTGTGAGTGTGCGCGCGGGATAAACGAAACATGCTGAGAAGTTCTTTATAATAATCTTCACAATATATATATCAGATACATGTGACATTTAAAATATCAAATTTTTAAAAGATTTTTGGCTATAGACGCGATTCTATTTTTTCAAAATTTATAATATCGCCTACATGATACTCGGGAACAAGGACTTCTCAGTAAAAGATATGTAAATAGTGTATAGTGTATTTATAATATAATTTCTTAAATCCGAAATCTTTCCATATCGGAAAGATTGCAGGTTGAAATTAAAATATTATAATGCGTTGTACACACTTATATACATAAATATTAAGAGAATAAGATTGGCACTCTTACTCTCAATTATATAAATGTGATCTGTTGCTGTTTTGCTCCGACGTAAATTGTTATCTTTTATTGCGAGAAGATTTAACTATCCGCAATGCCTATACAAGAATACTGATAAACTTATATGTTTTTTACGTATAGCCCATTCAGTATTTATGTATATTAATTGCATGATTCAAAAAGTCATCTTAGAGAATAATTGATTACTATTTATAAAAGCAAACAGAAAAGAAATGAGGTTTGTGATTATTTATTATTTTATATTATATATTATGGTATTTTATGCGATCGAATCATGAATTTCTATTAATTTAATAGAAGATTAAATGCATATAATAATTTATGATAAAAAAAGATATGACACAAAATTGCTACATTCTACAATTTTTTATTTTTATAAATTCTTGTTATTTATAAAATTTTTACTTCAATTATGAAATCTATTAATTGAATTTATTAGAATTAATTGAATTATTAGAGATATTTGCAATACTTATGACATGAATATAAATGTTTTCATCATCATCATTAACACAAATTAATTATTAAAACATAATTGCATGTATTTTTCATTTTATCATGTTAGAAACGTTTTTTTTTTGACGCGCTTAAGAAGCTATGCAAATTTTCACTGATACTCGAGTAGTGGCCAATTTTCGACAAAGGCTGTCGAAACGCATTCTTAATGAGCCTTAATTGGACTCACTTGTGTTTAGGGCGGCTTCAATTAGAGTCGCTCTTCCTGTAAAAATAAATTTTTTTTCTCCGTTTCGCAAATATGGCTTGGTGCAATTTATCGAACTGATATTTCGCGAATAAATTTCACGAAAGACACTTTAAAGGTTGTCTACTATTTACCTTCAAAGAATATGAAGTCGATTTTTTTCTGCAGCACTTGGATGGCAATCCTTCTTCCCATAGATAAATTAACATAAGTTAATATTAAATATAT